AACCAGCCAACCCCAAAACTGACTATTCCCATCCCCACCCCATGCATGATGACAAAACCAGATCTTCAGTTTTTTTCTGAAGTCTAAAAGGGAGGGGACTAACCTGACTTCTGGGGGAAGTGTTCTCCAAAGAGCAGGGGCTGCTGCAGAGAAGGCTCGCCTCCTGGACCCGGTCAGATGAAATTCTCTTGCAGACAGGGTCTGTAGCATGCCCTCTCTGCGTGACCGGGTGGGACGGGTTGATTTAACGGGGATGAGACAGTCCTTCAGGTACCCTGGACCAATGCCATGTAGGGCTTTAAAGATGATAACCAACACCTTGAATTGGACCTGGAAGCAAACTGGCACCCAATGCAGCTCACGGAGAAAAGGTGTTATATGTGCTGATCTTATTTACTTACAGTTGATAAAAACATGCATAACATTTAGATGAATCAGAGTATTCAGATTTGTCTTGGAAAGTTTAGAAGACCTATTACTGAGGAAACTAGACAAGTGCTGTGGTGTTTTTTTTTCCAACCAAGAACTAATTAATATGAGGAAAATACTGGTTTTACTCATTTTATTTATTTATTCATTTATGAGCTTTATATGGCTGACAACTCAAATAACTGTGACCCTGGGTAGCATACAGTAGGCAAGCAACAAAATAAACAAAAGCATTAACAATTACAATGTAATAATATGAATTCATATAATACCGTCAGTACGAACAATATATATTTCAAGATTATGCCCTCACAAAGCGCCATACACGAAGAAGAGAGAAAAAATATACACTTCAAATCATTCTGCATTACATGCAGCAACATAGAGTTCAGTATTCTAGTTTTAAGCAATATTATATGAGAAATATATGAACAAATATATAGCCATTTTCTGGATTTTGAACAAAGTGAGGTCTCTGTTACTCATATCGCACCTGCCCCCCAATATTCATAGTATTAATGTGGATTGCATAAAAAGAAGGGATATGTTGTTTCACCAAATCAGTTGTATTGAAAAGTTGATTATGAGAAGCAAATATACAGTCATGTGAAAAAGAAAGTACACCCTCTTTGAGTTCTATG